AACAAATTTAAGAGTGCTGTCACTGTGGGGGAAACTACAATTAAATGAGAAAACGATCAAATCAAGATTCTACCATGTTCAATTTTTTTGATTTGTACTAATAAGGGATTTCATTTGATGCTACAAAATGGCACCTAGTTTACATTTTCAAAAGTGAAATTCATCAAGAAAAATTGAACAGAATTGTTTTTACTTCATTTCAAGTTCACTGATGTTTTAAGTCATTTATTATCATTGAAGAGCATGCTTTCCAATTAGTTGGTCATGTCAATAGCGGTATGACACAATTGATCACCTAAACTAACTACGGGATTGAGGAAGCGATGCCCAGCTGAAAACATTACATCGTGATTAATGAGCTGTAATCCTGTCATATCACATGCTGTTTGAATGCTGCTCTTCCACATGAAGTATCAAATCATTCAAGTGATCATCTAACCAAAATATCTAAAATGTCTTCAGTTAAAAAAATATTTTCACACCTTTCTTGCTAAATTTACAAAGAACCCAATGTTTCTGCCATGTTTTGACAAGAAAGTCAGAAAGGTTTGTCTGCAAGTGTATAAAATAAAATCAAATTGGTAGAACAATAAAACATACAATACTACCAGTAATACAATTTACCAATCTTAAGACTTTTATAAAAATTTACATGATTATAACTACAGGAAATAAACCTTTAATGGCTGATTTCTATATTAATTCTCTATCCACATTTTCATTCCAATCCAATACGGCATATGTTTCTCTTGAATGACTCAACATAATGTGTATCAACACAATTCACAAAATCATCAGGAGATTTATAAATTTGAAGCTTTCTAATCTCTGACTGTATTCATATACTAATGACGAATTGTTTTCCTTTCAGGGCGATATGTGATATGCATACACAATGACAAAGAGCATCTAATTTTAGTCCCGTGTTGAAATTTAAATTCTTGTTCCAGGCTAATTATAATCATTAATCTGATCAATTTGATAATTTATTCAATACGTCTCCTTCAAAATGACAGGACTCCATGAAAATTCATTAAAAATGTCCCACTTCCCTACGTGCCTGTATAAGTCACAAATTCAACAAGATTTATCATACACTTACAGAAGCCATTATACTATTGTTCAACTAGACACCTGTTCTGATTTTGACATACATATACTGCTAGAATTACCAGTTTAAATTGCTTGCTCAGTTACTTCATTGACAGTCAGATGTCTACCAAAATTAGTAGTTGTTATAACGACAACGCATCGCACCAAACAAAGCATTTTACATATTAAACCATTTTAATGACGTTAATTAAAAAAAAAAATTTATCATATTTTTGGATGTTTTAATTACATTCAGAAAGGTGACTAAATCATTACATATTAATATTTCATTTTTAATTAACAAAAAAAAAAAAAAAGAAAAGAGTAAATAAAAGGTCCTATTCTCAATCCATTAATAATGTTATGATTATGCAGTTCATTTTACGTAATGGTATGAACCGCAAATGTAAAGTTTAAATAAATGTTTATAAATTCGTACACAGATCTATACTCCTCTGAAAGCCATTGTGCATGTTAAAGATATTTTAATGTGTATTTTTTCAATTTAATTGGTAAATTCTATTTCATTCTGTAGATCGACTGAAAAGAAAATTACAGGCTTTGAGAGCAGCTTGTAAGGTCACAAAATATATATGTACCATCACTTGCTAATTACTTTACTAGCTGGGCTAGGGTCAAGGTCTTGACAAGCTCTTAGAGCAGTGACCCTGAATTGTGTCGAGAATGACTTTCAAAACTTTTTCCAATCAACATGTGACATGAAAACAGCTATCAAAGTCATACACTAAAGCAATTCAAAACTATTTATGTATTCTTTGTTTGATATATATATAATATATAAACACTTGCATTCATTTTTTTTAAACTTTTCAATAACAAATATATAAAGATTTGTATTAGTAGTCAATCCCTCGCAATGTTATCGAATTGCAGCAGGCACTGGAAGATCTAACAGATTTTTTTCCCCATGATTTCCACTTATGAAGAATGGTGATAAATTCATGTCTTTGTTTTTCTTCCTCACAGTTTTTCCTTTTCGTTAGATCCGATGATTAGACAAAAGCCTACTTGACAACAATGGCACCAGCCATTGCTTCATCACGCCTCGCGAAAAGTTTTCAAATATTTTCATTTCGATTCTGAATAATTACGTGTAGAGAGTGTCGCAGGAAAGAAATTATCAAGCGGAGGAACATAATTCTGCCATTGACAGTTCCCTCTTCACGAATCAATGACTGTGTGGTAATCTCATTTTCTTCATTTCCCGTCCAAATTTTCATTATATTTTTCTTTGAGCTGCTGTGCTCAGCAAGGGATGAAACTACAATTTAGGTCAGCTGGAGAAAATGGGGAGAAATTGGTTTTTGTGTCGCCTTACTCAGAAAGAGTTACTGACCTCCACTGATCATATATTAGTCATAGCTATCTATTGATTTCATGGATTGAACATACATTTGAAATAAAAAAGCAATGTTTATTCGTACATATTTTGTATAAAAAGCGCAGTATATCCGTTATCAAACCATATATTTCCTTAACCATAAAGAATATAGCGATATGTGGTTGTAATTTCATATTTGACATTTTGAATTAAACTTAATTGCTGGTTTTAAACTGTCATAATGATTACTAACCTTTGTAGTAAAAAATCTCCTTAACCTTTCAGAAACAGGAATTATAGCTGCTTTGTTTTGTGATGATTTCCACAACATGTATAACATATCATTTATTACGAAAAACTTTTTTGAAATCCAGGAAGGATGTTTTCAAGGCCAAAGAAGATCTATCTTGCCTGTGGCGTGTCAACAAAAGCAAAGAGAAAAACAAAAAAAAATCTGGAACAGTAACTTATAATCCCTTCTTCCACATTGTATCAGTAAGTCGTAGTTTTAATTTACCCAATTTTCTCCCTTGCTACGGATATCCCAGTCTGCACCAGCTAGGGGCAGATTCTTGTGTGTCCTATCACATTATATTCGGCATTACCCAACTTCAGTTGGCTGAACAAAGATATATTTTTTATAATATAAATCCTATCCCATAAATGCAACATTAGACTTGCAATTTTAGACTCTGGTGTCTGTGTTTTTTTAACTTAATATAACATTGTTACATAATGAACAATCTGTAAAGTTGTATTTGCATGTACCAAAAGAGATACAGCATTTTTTATTAGAGCATTTGCAGGCAAATATAATTGTCTGAGAATTATCAATTAAAATCTGACACTTCCTGATAAATCTTTTTAAGTTGTAACACAATGTGAGTAACTTTTTCTGCTAAATCTTCCTTCTGAGATCCTGTGTTTCATGTGACACAGTCAATGAGATGGCTAGATTACCAGAGGTGAATAGCCTTATATCTCAGTGGACTGTAAACTTGACAGTATAAAGTACTTGGTGGATAATATTAGATTTATTAGTATAGTTTATGACTTATACACTCATGCAAGCCTAAAAGGAAACCAGCAGATGTACATTTGACAAGAACATATCTAAAGACTTGATCATTCCAAAAAATTTCTATGGTTACAGGTAGCAATGAAATGAAAAAAATATTCTGCAGAAATTTTTTTTCCTCTCCAAAAAATTTATACCCACTTGGCTTGCACTTTGGAAGCTTTCTGTTATCTATGACTTGATGTACAGCACACAACAATGGGAGCAGCTTATACAATAGTTTACTGCCATAGATAGCACACATACACCGCACAGCACAGTGTGCTACTGTGGCAGGGACAAGCACCCTGAACCACCTGTTGCACAGTCTGCCACCAGCTGTAACAGGATATGGTCTTTTTTGATCAGACAGTAATTACCATAAAAACAAGAGGGGCAAAAAAATCCATCATATAAAAATCTCTTAATGCACATATTTGCTTAAATCAATACAATCTGCTGCATTTGTGTGGCATGATCATGATGTTGTTGATGTGTTGTTGTGGTATATCAAACCTTCTGAATGTGAAAATTTTACCCAAACGTACATCCACCTTTCAGTAACATACAATAATCCCACACAAATCAGAAAAAAATGTCAGGAGATACAATACTTATTGGAACTACATGCTGTTTTGCTGCCACTCAAAATCAGTGAATACTTTCAACACACAGTCCTACATGTACTTAACATAAATCATTGGCATTTAAGAAGCGTCCAATGTATGACAATTCTTCCCCCTTTACTGTACACAATATCGGCTTTTTATTTTACAAGGCTTCTCACTTTTGTTTGAATAAGACTTTGCTGACAGGAAAAACAAGATATATCAAAATACCTTCCTCCCTGTTTGTTGCTGGGTTGAATTAAATTGTGTGTGTGAATACTAAACCGTCAGCAATACTGGCTGTTCACATGTCAAAGTGTTTTAAATATTGCTTGGAAGTCATGACCATCTATGCAAATTTTCACAACGACAGACAGACAAACAAGTGTTGCCTGAGAGTAAGCCGAAAACCACATGAAAGAATACACAGATATTAAATGGCGAAATAAAAATATGCATCATAAATCGTGATGTTAAGTCATAATGCAGGCTCACGGAACACACGTGTAACTGGTCAACACTCCTGGAGACAAATAACTGCGGTGAATTAGCGTCCTAAACAAGTACGGACAATATTACAGTCACTGATGTCGGAGTACATCTTAATCCATGTACCTATTATGGTGGTTTATTTTGACTAGAAATGACTGACAGACATGGGAAAGGAGATAGACACTACAGAAGAGATCTAATCTAACTTGGCTACCAAACCTCAAGTTGGGAAGATAAGAGAGTATTACGAACCCCCAAAGCATGACACAAAATTTTCAGAAGCTTCTCATAACTCAGAGAATCTGATACCCCTTTTTTTCATGAAATGTTGCCCTATTTTCTATGAAAATTTTGCTGAGAATTTCACATCAGAGCCCAATATTGAAGTAAAAATAGACTTCATACTTACTTGTCACATGTCTATAGTTTAAAAGTAAATTCCCAAAGCTAGAGAAAAAGGGGAAAAAATAAAATTCCACAATCACACGCACACGTTAGTTTCTGCCTCTGTCAGAGCAAGATCACCATGCACTGCTAACCAGAGGTTGCGAGTAAAGAGTAAAAAAAAATGCCACGGTTAAGTTCGGCAAACTTTGGAGAAAACTGTTACACAGAAAGACAAATATTGATTGCTGTTCCAATTAATTCCACTGTGGTGATAGCCAGCAGGCAAAGGGATCAAATCCCTTCGAAGAATCCGTCTGTTAAGACCTAAAACAGCTGAGCCATACTTGTCTTGCTTGCCTTGTTTATGTCGGTGCGCAGAGAGAGGAGATACACATTTTCAAGGTCTTTGCTACGTCACACGTTACACACACACAAGCTTGTGTAAACCTATCTCTCTGCCGCATAATAAGTTACCATATGCCTGAATGATTACCAGAGGGAACACAACACAATCCAAACGCTTTATGAAAACTTGGGCTGTTTAATGGATGGCCAGCTAAAGCCAGACCTAACTCTCTCAATTCAGTCTTTTTAAGAGGATTAGCATTTGGACTTAAATACTTGAAAATCGATTGTGCAGAAAAAAAAAAGCAAAGTGCAAATTGCTGTTTAAGAAAATAAAAAAAATTTAATTTCTCATGACGGCTGTTAAAGGAAAAAGAAATTTCTTTTTACTTGATCTCACTTGCACAAGTAATAAACTGATCATTGAAAAAGTACAAGATGAATTACTTGTAAATTGAACTGTTTACATGAAATGTAATAGCCATTATTTCTAGCCTGGGTGATAGACAGGAACAGGTCATTTAAAATCTACATCTTCACACAGAAGAAAAGCCATTATAGAAGATAAATCCCTGATAGTATGTGTGTGTGTGTGTGTGTACATATATAAAAATAAATTATTCCTCGCTGGGCCGACTTGTATAAGAGATGTCTGCTTGTGTTCATAAACTGCCTTAATTATACAAATATTACTGTACAAGTTTTTTTTATGTAAACATGAAGTGTAAAGGGAATTACTTGAGGTGACAGTATTTATTCACTAGACTACAGCTCCTTGTCTTGAGCTGGAGCCATCAATTTTCTCTTGTCATTTCTGTCAGATATTATGTATGACAAAGTGTTGCTTCTTATGCATTTCCAAGGCAAATCTGCACATCCACCTCAGAGAAAGAGAGAGAAAGAGAGTGAGAGAGCTCAGACAGAGAATTTCTCTAAATTGTGATTTTCTTTTCAGTCTAATGTATTTATACTTCATGACCTTTTGAAATGACTTAAGTAAAATAAGTGAAAGATAATAAATCTATCTATAACTGGTTGTTATTATACATTAATCTTCAATAAAATTAAGTACCAATTTACTGAACATTACCACCGCACAAGCTACTACTTAAGAAGCTAATCATTTTATTGGGCTTTATTTCTGCTAAAAAGTTTTACTTGTCCGCACAGAGTATTTTAGTTAATCAAGAATGCAACCATATTTTGAACAGGTGGCAACTTGAAATGTTCAGTGTACAGGTTACACCAAAAGCATTTCGCAAAGTTTTAACATCTCTGAGTGACAAAAAACTGCATGTCGAGACATTACCTAATTGTACCCTAACAACTCAAATTTTCATCAGAGCATACCACTTAGGTCTCCAAATATGAAGTGCTGTTTTTCCCCACAATTACTGATCATAATGATCATCACGCAAAACTATGAGAAACAATACAACATTTACGTAAAAAAAAAACTTTGAATGTGGTTCTTAAAAATCTACTGAATTAGTGAGTAAAACTGAAAACTTTGAATGTGGTTCTTAAAAATCTACTGAATTAGTGAGTAAAACTGATCCCACGGCTGTTCTCTCCTCCCCCCTCCCTCTCTCCTCCTGTCTATCTTACTCAATCTTAGTTTGTAATTTACTGCATAACTAACGAGCTAGGACACCCAAACATCTACTGCCTGATCGTAAGAAGTGGTCCCTGTAAACTCCGTAATTACCTCAGTCGCAGACATCACTCGTAACAAATCCAACCACTTCTAATGGAGATCTTTTTTAACTTACAGTACTTCAGATTGTAATTACACTGATGCAAATCTGCTGAACTAATGGGTTTTCTTTCATTATCGTTATAAAGTGTTTTAGATACAAGTTTAAGAGATTACAGCTTTTATTTATAATCTGTTACAACTATCTTCATCTTTCATTCAAGCAAGGCTTTCTTTTTTAATTCACTTTATTGCGAGTAGATCATGATTTCTATTGGATGATTATATTCACCATGATTAGAAGATTTTGTGAGAATTCAAGGTATTCTTTGTATTTTGTTTCACAAAAAAAGAATCAATGTATGATACACGTATCACAATTAAAAAAATCTGTGCCTGTTTTGCATATAAATGGTGAAGTATTTATATGTCATATTCTTTACAGAAAAAATATGTACATGTACTTTAAAACATGGAAAACATGAACACTTTTAATGTTATGAACTGCAAATTATCACATTTAATAAATTAATTTTAGTTTATAACAAATCAAAAATGTTCATCCCAGACACTTCCTTCACATGATATTCCAAGTAAATCTGCTTAAGTTTGAAATTAAAATAATTTATGCTCCAGGAAACAGACTGTATATTACATAACTTTATTCAGTTCTACTATAATTTCTTTAAAAAAAAAAAAAAAAAACAAATCCTTGGGAGTTGCAACTGTGCTGAAAACCTGTGAAAATTAAAACTTATTTGCATTTTGCTATAACCGAACTATATTACCCGACAGCCTTCAAACACACAAATCAGCTTCTATTTACTTAATTTAATGAATACTTCATGTTAACTGATGCAAAAAATATTAAATCTTGCATAAACAGCCCCTTCTCAGAAACTCGATAACCTGACTCTATGCTAACTGAGTGAATAAAGCCCAACATATCTGCTGTAAATATTCTAAATGTATCTTTTTTCCATTACTTCTTGGAAGGATGCCATATTTCTTTAACTCCCATGGCATACAGTGCATTCTACACCTAAAGCTTTTGACCAATAATGGCGGAAAAGGATTTCTTTTGAAGTGGGTCCAGAATCTTCGTGACTCTCTGTATTTCTGTTATGATCAGGGTCACATGGCCACAGTGACATCAGCGTTCAATATATGGAGAGATAAAAGGTTCGACTGCCTTTTACCCAATAGGTGATTGCCCTCAGTTGTTGTATAGAGTTCTAAACCAACTTACATACATATATATGTTTAAGTGTGTCAGGTACATTGGGAAAATCAGTCAAACGTAATACTATAATACAGACAACAAAAAAAATCAATCATCATCCCTGGTTTTTATAGTATGGACTTCTACGAAATATATGAGTGAAAGCTTTGCCCTTCGAGCTCAATTCTGAGTCATTTTTCAAATTTGAATGGCCCCGAAATTCTGGAAGAAACTGATAAGAGCTTGCTGCAACATGTATTTGGCACTTAAAAGAAAGAGTTCAGAAGAACTTTTAAAGGTTATAGAAAGAAACTTTCATAAATACACAAGTAACAGAGATATGTTTTAAAGCAGCCTGTTTGGTCTATCAATAATTAACACTATCATTCTACAAGAAAATCTCACCATAATATATATAATGATGTTTTGGTAATTACAGTAGTGGCTTTCACCACTGTTTTGGCATGGTTATATATTACCTCATAAACTAAAGCAATAAGCTGAGAAATAAAACGAACACAGCTCAACTCCTTAAAATAACCACATGCAGGTTCAAGTTTAAGCAGTGTAAAAAAATACCCCCATACTAACTCAACCAATTTTCAAAAACTAATATTCTGAATTTCTCATGCATCAAATGTACTGTTAAAGCATTTGGCTCACTTCTCAAGGAATACTACACACAAACCTGACCTTATCCAATTGCAGGCAAACATACCTAGGCCTGGATCCATCTCATGCTGCATGCAGCTTTCTTTCATCTTAATTATCTTTAATTATCCTGATCAGGCTAATTACACACCCAAACAGCTGAAAAGTTTCATACCTTAGTTGAGACCCTGTTCTGAGAAAACAACACTTTCTGTATGCCTGTTCCAGATCAGATGACAAGACTGAAGAATTAATGAGACAGTAGACTACCTTGAAAATCATTAATAAAACACCAACATGATGTCTCCCTCTCCCATTTACATTAAATTAATATATATATTAAGTTTTTAATTGTGCAAATTTTACAGCTTTTCAACATAATTAATTCAATTATTCAGACAAAAAACTTTACTTGCAACAGGTTTCTGTTAAATGAGCAAGGGTTTTATCGACTTTTACATTAACTTAATGTAAAGATTCAGTGAAGAGAGCTGAGAGTCAAATGTCATGTGAATGTGTGCTTTCATGATATTCTGGTTTACTCTGAAATCTCACTGATGTATTATAATAATAATTTAATTCTGGTTGAAACATGCCATTTGATTGGATAGAAAAAAATTGTTTATATCCTATAATGTGTGTTGCCTATAATGTCACAATGACTTGTGTCAAAAATGTAGCAATCCAATTCAAGTACATTCAAAAATTGTACAATCTGAAGGCATTTTTGATGGGATTTATTTTTCATTCATGATAGAAAATTAAATTATAAGAAATAAATTTCATAGGAACCATAGCTGCCCAGTTATACTTGTATAACCTTGGTTGGAACATTTACTTGCTAATGCTCTTTTATAAACTGCTTTACCATTTATAAAATGTAATCAAGCTGATTTCCAATCAAAAAAGAGGTGGGTAGGGGGGTAACAAAACTTCTAACTATTCTTCCAATGTCCTCTGTATGCCTATAAGGGAGCATTTGTGACATCATCAAGCCACTCCTGCTATCAAAATCTTACTGCCTACAATGTCACAGAAAAAAACACTGTCATCAAAATCACAACCTTCATGAATATTGTACAACACTGGTGGGACTTGACAAGAAAAATCCCATGCTCTAGCTGTTGGAATTTTGCTTCAATAAAGGTCTACACCCCTTCCTTTTGTTGCCTGTAGACATGCTAGGTCATTATATATTATTGATACCACTGTTGTTAGAGCAAGGCAGCCCACTCTAGCTTTTATATTTACTTTCTCCGGTTTCAATGAATTTGTCACTGGAAAAAAAAAAATCATCTGTCTTTTTTTAAGCCCACAGAATGTCAACTGAAAATATAACAAAACAGTATTACGAGTATAAATCATAGTCGACTTCCTCCTCAATGCTCCATCTTTGTCGCACATGGAGGCAATTTCCGACCCTCCAACATTTGACAGGTTTGGATGTCAAACTCGGTAACATTGAACACCATTGTGACAGGACGCAATATTGCTTCTTGTCATAACAATATTCAATCTCTTTTTGTGCCTGCATCATTTAAGTG